TTGGTTATTATTCTCTAATTAAACCAACAATCAACCCTTTTGCGTGCAAACTATCGCGTCTTACAAGCACCACTTGTAAATATGGTAGTAAACTACAAGATCGCTCACAAGATCCTGCAGATTATAAAGTTGATCTTTTTGCAAACGCATTAGGGACCGTTAAGAAGTAGAGTTTCAGAAACTTTTTTGTACGCTTTCATCCACAAGAAAAACAAAGCAAATATCATAAGCTAAGTTAATTTAAGCACTAGCTTCTCACCAGTAGCCAGATAACAACTCCAGAAATCCCAGATAGCAGTATGATACAGGCAAGGATTGGCCACTGTGACGTAATAGAAGTCAATAACTGTTCCCGCGACTCAGCCTCACATATTTTAGTGTTTACAATCATTGAACAACCCGATGATACAAATGCACGGATGAGCGTCTCATCGGATTTACCGTTAAGCGCTGCCTTCGCGTCCGCTTGAATGGGAAAAGCGAAATCCACGCTCTTGTTTTTGATCAATTCAACGATCTCCACCCAACTACGGACATATATGGGCACCATTTTGCAAGCTTCTTGATCATTTTCTTGTCTGTCGAAGCACGTAAAGTCTACAAACCACTTTATTTTGTCGTACATAAAGCCCTTTTCGACGCTTGAGTTCATAATGTAAGGTGGAAAGTCTAGCAGAGCGATGCTGTAATTACATTTCGTCTCGGGTTGATCTGACTGACGATTTCGACGGGCTTGACGAGTATCTCGATGTGACCTGATTTCCCTGACTTGCCGGGCCAATCTGGAATGATGACTTGAATCGATCTGACGAGTTTTGCCATTGACGAGCCAAAAATAAGAGCAGACCAGAAGGCAAAAGACAAGCCTTTCAGGGACACCATGCATTGTAAACACCGCTGAAGAAGCCGCGTACTGGATTAAAATCTGCTTGGAAGCAAGAAGTCTCCAAATTCAGGTGTTGACATACAAATCTGAAACAATATTTGAAGCCAGAGTTACAACGCGTTCTTTTATGAGGCTCATTTTCTTTGCAAGCATTGATAATGGTTTTCCTGGCTTTTTTTCAGGAAAACGTCAACAAATTATTTTCATTGCAGGAACATTGTCAGTGGGATTTCCTGAAATATGAAACGCAGGAAATTTGCCTTGTTTTGGGAAATATATTGTCGTGCTCTCGAAATGAATAAAGAAAGCAATTATTTAAGGCAATTTTCATCTCCGTCAAAAGATACAACTGCAAAGCCCACTTGAAAACAAAAGAAGCCCAACTTGTTGTAATACTTTTCCATCTTTGGTCCCTGTCAACTTCCCAATAAATCCCTGTCATTTCACGAGTAACTCACTCAAAATCCAAAAGCCATTAACGTCTGGTTTGCTATTATCAGTAACTAAAGTTAAAAGCATCCATAAATCATTCTCAACTAATAAACATTAACATAAATCGGGGCCGCAGTAATGAAGTCTAATACAACTGCACAATTATTCCTTAAACTCATTACATTGCATTACTTTATTATCAAGATGATATTACAATTGGTGAAAGAGCTCTAAATCGCGTTTTATTTGCATTAAAGGCAGGGAATACATTTACAGTGATCAAAGTAAAATTATACACCATTTTCCCGTAAATAAAAGCTCTTGGAATAATCAATGCAAGGGAATTTCACCCTAAAACTCATCCTCTTAATAAAATATAGGAAATAATACTTGATAATCGTATATTTTCCTGTGGTATTATTATACGAAGTTGAATCTGATTATTCAGTCCAGGCGATCTTTTGAAGACCTCATGAGCTTTAAACGCTTATAGCTTTAAAACCATTGAAGAGATGGACCTCAAATTTGGTGGCCTTTCCTAAATTTATTAGGGAACAATTCGATATGACCTGTCATTGTTCAAGGAACTTGCATGCATCTATAACGTTTTTATGGCCACAATGTCCGGGCGCGGGTTTCATCCTGTGATTGAACAATGAGCAATTCGATGCTTAAAGGAGCTCCAAATACCGCAGAATGGGACAAATAATCACAGACGATGTCTTTAGAGCACGTACTTGCGCTGTGTACATAATGTTTCAAAAAGCCCGGGCTCTCTTCGCCAGAGTTTTAAAACATCACCACATTCATTATTCTGCGTAATCGACACGAAAACGGCGGGTGATTTGTATTATTGGCGGAAATTTTTTAAACAATGTTTTGACAGGATCTTTGATGTTACTAGAGATAAACTGAGATACAGGATAACACATTTCAATGCGAAAGCAAAACAGACTACACCAGACACTGCGTGGGTGTTATTGCAGGACTGCCGAAAGCGATTCATCAAAAACGATTACCGAATTCAACCGCCCTCATTCAAGCTACTGCAGGAGGTATATTAAAAATGAACTCTAGCGCGAACAAATCACGTCAAACAGCGAAATTCAACTTAAACTATTGTGTAGTAGTCAGTCAAGGAAGACGAGGATGCTCCCAAGCTATTGTGCGGCCGATTGATGAAGTGCGGCAAACGGATGTTGTCATAATTTGAAATTGCATGCAAGTTTCGATAATATATTAACTCGAGAATAGGTAATGTATATTTATGAACGGTAAAAATGAAGACAAATCAGCCCTGATCAAGGAAACAATCATTCTAGGAAATTCAAGTAATAACGGTGAACAAATAAGTTCCCATCAGCTTGCTGGAGGTTCAAAAGCTGTAGCGAAACTGTAAACAAAATTGTATTACCAGAAACACTCTTAAAAACCACTCGAGTATTGATTCTGCGCGAAACATGACGAGGCAGTATTGTCCGACAAAAAAAAAATGTGATGGTTTCACGACAAACTTTTAACAAATGTGTCGGAAATGGTAGAGTTATACTGTCTATCAAATAAAATACTTGTTTATAGAAAAAGAATATACAACTTTCTTGTTGCAGTGACTAACCTTCAAGTGTGCTCTCGTTTTGACTTGCAGATTCTTTACAAATCGTAAATCCGGCCTCGTCAATATCAGGCGGGGAGATATCAGGTAGCCTGAATTTCAGGTTGATTGCGGCCTGAGTCAGTTTTGCCAAAGCTCGCTAAACAGATTGAAGACAATATTTCCAAATCGACAACAAATTGAGAATAAGGAAAGCGCGACAATGTTTTGGCACTGTGGTGTAAGTAATTTAAAACTTGTTAGTCGGTCGTAGAATTAACATATTATTGTTCCGTCTTCGTTGCAAATTTGCGGTAATACACAAAAAGAGCCTCAAAGTACGTCATTAGCACATTAGGTCTTCCGTCCAAAAACTGTCAATTAGTTTGAAAACCTCATTATACATTAAATAGCGAACTGCAACACGTTTTAATGTCATAAGAGTAAAAAGAAAATGTTTAGAGAATAAAGACATTAGGAATTTGGTCGAATTTAAGTCTACATGGCTTTAAAAGCGTTGCCCATGTACGCGGTCAACAAAACAGGTGAAACAATTCGTGTGCTGGTCAGTAATCCATAAAGAGCTGCTCATGGCCACTGCTTCATATATGTGATAACAAAGAAGCGGGCAAACAGAACTTCACAGTCATAACTCACTGTGAAGAGTTCAAAGATAATCATAATTCGCCGCACTAGGTTCATTTACTCGAACAAGGAATATCTTCACTTACCGTAATATATTCTGACAATATTCTGCGTCATCTAACCGTAGAATGCAAGAAAACCAGCACTAACTAACGTTCAAACAATATATGAAGAGATCTACTCATAACGGTGAGAAAAAAACATGGGGAGATCTGCGGCTGCGTTTTGTTGATTGAAGAAAATAAAGGTGATTCTTGAATCTCAATTGGCCATTTTTAACTCCTTGAAAGATGTTTTAGTTGCGGTTTTTGCGGAACATCTATTTACGTTATATAGAGCTTGTGGTGGTCTTAATCAATATCGTAATTTATATACTCGCTTTCAAAAACAGATCGTCAGTATAACCTGCGAAACCGTGTTTCCAAACTTATTTTAGCTGCGTTCTGTAAAAGTTTATGAAAAGTCTCTTCACAACGTTTCGCGCAAGTTTTAAACTTTATTCAACTCCTCTGACAACGTTTTGAATTTGTAATTTGCAAATTTGGCAAGCGCTTCTCTTTCTCTCTTTTTAGCTGGCGCCGAGAAACAGGTCTCACCCGCACTCAGTGTAAATAAATACTTCACCAGCTATTATGTTTACTTCAGCATTGCTTCTGGTGCAAGAGAGTTTTTCAAGAATATATTGTCCCTCATAAATAATATCTGTCTTCTACAAACCGTAATGATTCAAATTCAGTCACATATTAATTACCTTACGTCAGGCCAGGATTATAAATTAACTATATTTATACTATGAGCTATAAACTTATTGCAAGAAAAAAGGTTCTCGCTCTGGCTTATCCGTGACTTAACAGCTAAGATTCATAAGAAAAAGTCGATTGCCTACTGGTAGAGAGTGAGAGAGGAAAAAAATATCTTAAAACTTAAAAGCAAAATTAATGTTATGAGGTTTTGGCGGCTGATTTCGATTACTAAGAAGAATTATTAGAAGCTTTTGAATAAGTTACACTTTAAAAGGCGAAATAAATTTCTAGTACATCTGTACATTACGATTTAATGTACAACTGTTCGCTATGCCGAAAAAAAAAAAAAAAAA